CTAAATTCCTCATGAGCTAACCGCATAGAATTTTAACCATGTCCATATCGATTATAAATTAACATTCTGTTTAATCTAATTAAGATTTCTCTACGAATTCTTAAAGCTAAAGTCTTATACACATTTTAGCTTACCTCTTGGACTTTAATACTATCAACATCGTATTCTGAACAATACACGGTTCGCAAGCCAGCAATATTCCAATTAAAATTCATACTTGCTTAGTCACCGTAGTGTCGCAGTGCCAAGGTAAATAAAAATCGAACTTAACATTGTAAGTAATGAATTGTAAGGACTTTTACACGTACGTAGGTATATAATTTTCGAACAATCAACGGACTAACTAGAAGAATGCCGGAGAGGAATATAAGAAAAGATACGAAAGGTAATATAGCTATAAAATATGGGATTGGTAAAGAAGCATAATAAGTTATCATTGTTTCTTTTCTTATTATTCTTTTCATAGAATAGGATACAAAAGTCAATGTTTAGGATTTATTCAAAGTTCAAGAACGAGAACTTGTAAATTTTCGTAAGCCTATGTTAATGTATCAATCCCATACTCCTAGTCTATTCCATTCGACCAGTGTTTGTAGTAAACTCGGTGTTTCTATATTTGAAATTTTGAAGTAATAATGGCGGGTCGCACGAGCCGTCGACCGTTACACCGATGGGTCGAGCAGCTGGGATCGCACCTGCCGTACAACAGCTGAGCAAGGACCGCCTTACGATAAAGACTTTATACTTCTTACAAAAGGGGGACTTTGTTACCACGAAACGTCAAATTCGTTCAATAGAATTTCGACTTTATTACAAAACACCTAAAGTTTAAATTAAGAAAAAGGTAGCTTAATGTTCTAGTGTCGGAGAAGAGAAACATTTTGCGCTCATGTTCCCTCTAAAATACTTTTTTTGTCAATCGAAAAACGATTTAAACAACATTAACAGGTAGTAGATAAATTGGATCTTTTCTTTGCTTTAAAATAAACAAAGAAACTTAAAAGTACACAATGTTAGACCATACAGTGCCGAATGCGAATAGGTACTTGACAAAAGCTCGCAACCTTCAGCATTCCACACGTGGAATCCGGAGTAATCCTTGGGCAAGAGCACTTCAGTAAATTGCGGTCAAGCCGGTGAATTGCGATATTCATTCAGAGCAATTATGCTCCATGGCAATGGAGAAATTTCCAGAAAAAATACGGTAAATTCAAAAACGTCCTCGACCTCAAAAAGGTATTGTTTTTATGCTCGACAATCTGTTCTCTGATCCCTTATGACATTTACTTATTCATCAGAGTTAAAAAATAAAAATGGGATATACTGAAATATAATCCTGTCCAAATTCTAGTCCTAGTTTCTACTATTCTCTATTGTCACGCCAATTACACCTAGTTGTCCTAATTTAGTTTAATGGACTAAAAATAACTACTGCGATAAAACCACTATTAATGAATTGGGCAAACATACGTGGTACTCCAAAATAACTAAAGAAATATAAACTTAGGTTTTAATCAGTCGTAGGTAAGCAAATGTAGTTAGTGAATTATATTAAATACACGAACGAGAAACTTAAAAACTTCTAATCCAAGCCTTTGAAATCTGATCAAGTTGGTAAACATTCGACAACCACAACATTACCATCTGTGGTTAGGTTGGAAATTAATTTATCTTAATAACGTCTCAATTTTGGTACTCACAAAGTTGGGAATGATAAATCTTCTCTACGTTTGATAGAATTTGTTAATAAAGTATCAATTTACGTTAAATCTGTGGATTGCCACTTTATATCCCAAATACTGCCTAAACTTTATTCATTGTCCATAACTTAGAACTCATTATTCATCCAATGATTACTTCCCTTACAAAATTTAAGGCAAAAGTTACTTTATGTTACGTAGGGATCTCAAATCTACGCTATCTCAGGTTTTATGAGATTCGGTGCCAAAAATAGCTAATTAAATATTATGTCTGTCACGTTTTTTCCTTCAACTGCTTACAAAATTGCCAATTTAGTCTTGAATTTGTTTACGTCGGTAGCAGCATACAGCTCTATGTAGTCAAATGTTGTATTTTTACTGCATTTTATTCATTGATAACGTTAAGTATCGTTGCATTCATAACGTACTTTTTTATCATACTTTACTTTGTATGTAGATATTCATTCGTATTAAGCAAAATTAAAAATTTTATATCCTTTGGTATGAGCCTTGGCACACAAGGTTCGACTATAAACCCAGAATGTAACGCAGTCGTCCCATAAAACTCCTTACATAAATGTCTTTAATTATTTTCTACGATAATTAAGTTCTCCATTAGGTTTAAGTATCGTAATTATTAGGCGGCGAGACTTGATCGATGTCGGAAATTACTCCTTTGAGCCGCAGATCTTCTCCAAACCTGAATTTGTAAGATTGGATCCGATTTTCTACTCACTTATTTCCACAAAACCTTTTCGGGGAAAATTTCGATAAGATTGTGGCAACGACATTTTAGAGGGTGCGTACTGCGTAAACGATTTGAAAATATGCAAAAATGTTCGCTATTTGGAGTAAATGGAAGGAAACGTCGAGTCGCGCAAAGCAAAACATTTTTTGGCGCGGCAGGGGAAAATGCGTCATGCTATAGATTTAGGTATTCATATGAATTGTCAACAAAGGGGTGTGTGTGTGCTGAAACATACAAGGGAGTATTAACCTGTAAGTATAACACAGGCATATTTATTGAGTACGACACAGTAAACATAAAACGCTATAAAGTCTACACGCTCCAAGTTCCATGTTGTTGGCGTCGTAAAGAGCTGCCCGGAGCCAAGGCCGCGTCCTTCGTGAAGCTCCTGTGTGTCATGAAGACGCAATCGATTCACGGTTTACCTTCAAAACACTCCAAAATTTATGCGTGAGGGGCATCAACACAGCCCGAAGTAGCCTACATACATAATCTACTTTTACAGCAAGCTTCGCGCAGTTTTTCTCTACGATTGTCGCAACATTGTGCAAACCCTTGTAGAGGTCTGAGAATTTGTGAAACATAAACGGACCAAGATTTTCGCCAATTCTAGAATTGCAAAGCTGACTCAAGACTTGTAGACGAGTGTTATCTAGAATCTTAACACGAAGACAGTCTAATAGAAAATCGCAACACGCTACAGAAATCGAGAGCATGTTTCTGATTGGTATCGAACGTGATTGGTGCCGATTAATAGCGTCTTCCGGGCAACTGTTCGTGTACTTGTTGCGGACTGTTAACGATCTTCGCAATAATTTATAGCCTACAAGAATTTATAGAGATTTCGGAATATTTCTAGGTACGCTATATTGAAAATGAAAATTCTTCGGATCAAAACCCAAACCGCTTCCTTTATTGTTATTTTAGGCTTCTAAGAACCGAGAAAAAAAACAGGTTTTTACATTGATCTATATCTTGATGTGAAATTGATTAGTCGAACAGTTTTCAAAACATACAGCCGAATTGATAACCTCCTCCTTTTTGGGAAGTGGATCAATACATCTCTAAAACCAAAACATAATAAGCAGCACGGTCCCAAATACATTCCATTGAGGAGTAACAGAGACTGCGCCGGACAGGGCATGTGTTATGAAGATGGTAAGCAATTAACGTTAATTAGGCGTCCCGCTCAAACGTTCACGATTGCCTGTGATCATTGCTCGTGTCTAAGAGGCTCTTATCTTCTATGGAGCCGAACCATTCAATGAAGAGCTGATGTTTATGGAAGGTCGTTATAATTGATTTGTTAAGGAGACCAAGAAGAATCTTAATAGAGGTAGAAAGTTAGGACTTCATACTTGTTCAGCTTTACATGGAGTAAAGGTTTGTTGTGAAACCTTCAAGGAGTGATAAATCGGAGATGATTGCATAGTTAGCTGAAATTCGTTGAAAAAACCTAAAGGCGTAAGGTTTTCTATACGCTGGTTACAGGAGTAACAAAACTTGCGTCTTTGCGAGCCATCTGACAGAAAACAGTCACCGTAATTGACGCGTATGCAACACCAAATGCATCTTGAATGCGTTGGCGACCATTGAGAAATTTGATAACGCATTTATTATAAAGAACCCCAAGCTGTAGTTCGTAGCTTGTGTAAAATCATATCAATCTGATTTATCTACTCAAGATCCCAAAAGACTAGGCGTAAACTTACCCTAGATTCCCAATGTACCAATCAGCTCGTAAAATCCCATAGGCCGATCTTCAATCTTCCAAGCTAATGTTACATTAACCTACAAGAAGCCGCTATGCTGATACTACAAGTAAATTAATATTAAATGCAATTAATTTAGTCTATGACTCATTGAATTAAACGTAATTTCTAACCGGTACCGATGCCTACTGCAGTTGAGCTTAGACGGTACCAATATAGGTACTATGAACAACAACGAGGATTAAAGTTTAAACGTTTTAATGTTTATTTACCAGTAGATATGTTAGTATTTGTAAATAGGTAAGAAAACAGGTGAACTAGTCAAGACATCGTAGATAACTCATTACCCTTCTTTTGTGATGCGTAGTCGGGTAATGAAATATAATATCGCTTTAGCATAGATGAATGAGAAGAGCTGTCAAAGCTCACCTTGTTTTAAAAAAAAATGTAACATTATTTATGCTGTTGTTTCCATTTATTTAAAAAAAAATATGTTAAAGTCGTTCGTGGGTGCCGTTTTGTATTCAACTTTCTTTAAAAAAATATCTTAGACACGTTCTTCCGCATTTTTAATATTACCTACTAAAACGGTTTTTATATATCAGGTAGTTATTATGCAGTTAAAATATAAATAATAATTGTTTACGGCATTTATCTAAGAGCGGAAGAAGAAACAATTGTATCAGAAATAAATTAAGGAAATAGCAACTAGTATTTTTATGACTGACTGACGAAAACAAATCGTTAAAAAATATTTTGACGTGATTAAACACGCGTGTTGTCGTGCAGCGGATACCTTATGAATTAATTATCATAATAATTGATACAATTACTACTTACAGCTGCTGGACACATGGCATTCATTCAGCACACACTGGTAGATAATCCAGGATTCCAATTCAATCATCGTGGAAGCCGTCATTTTCGGCACCAAATAAATATTCGCACACAGTCAATAAATCAAAAGTCTAGCCTTATTCTGACAAATAACACTTTAATATATCACTGCATTACTATAAACGTTAAAAGCTAAATATTTTCAGTCAATGTTTTCAATTTGTAAATAACACGCGCGGTCTACAACACAAAACGTTGTTTTGATAGGTATCGCCCACATAGAACCGCGAGCTGAATGATTTGATTGGACCTCCGAGCCGTATCGGCCCGCCCGACAGGAACCCGGAAATTGCGACCAGTGTTGCCACTTTATAAGGCTTTTCCCCTTCAACAGCTGTCAAACGTCAAATTCATAAAATTAAATAAAAAAATATTTCTCTTATCAATTACTAAGAGTGAACTGTTTGACCTAAAATTGAAAATAAAAATATACCAGAATCCAGAATGACAAAACTATTATGGAAATAAAATTTCAGGGTTATTATTTGAAATTCAACAAAACTTAAGCACTGCAGACCATGTTATATCATTATATACTTGATGATAGCTAAAACATTTGAAATTAAAATCAAAATTATCTTTATCAGATATGTCAATTTATTTAAACTCCCCATATCAAAGTAAATTTCTTTTCTTGGCAACATTATATTCATAGACATTGCGCTGTGACATAGACCATTCATCAAACTATGGTATATTATAATCGATTTGTGAATTTTGTATTCGATATAAATAATTTATTATGTCAATTATTGTGCAATGCAACTATTTATAAGTAATTTATATTCATTATAGTAAAATAATTGTAAAAGTAACAATGCTGTACTTTTAGAAGTACCACTGTTTTAATTTTTAGGGATTTTAGTGAATCGAATCTAGAATCGATTTACATTATTCTACTCGATTTCAATTGACTTATTTACGATGCCCAGCACTAGATTTGTAGCTGTCAAACGATCAGTCTATTTTGTTTTTGGTTTTTACGAGTTCTGCGCGCAGTAGAAAGTGGTGTTTATTTGTAAATATTGTAAAATTGTAAATATTCATAATTCTTGTGTGTTTACTGATTGATTCGTGATAATATCGAAAGTGACAGTGTTTTATGGGAAAACATCGTTTAATAAGGACTTTTTACGTTTTATAAGGTGAGTTATTTGTAAAGGATGATCAAACACCTGTCGTATTGTACGTAATTTTTATGTAAATGCAATTCATTGTTAGATATAGGGTCATTATGATTTCGTAACAATTTTAAATCTCTTGTGTTGTCTGGAACGTTGGCCAGTTGCGCTGTTTCGTGTAACCTTGGGTGAGCGAAGCGGAGTGTCATCGTCTAATTTGGCCTTACAGCTTGTGCCCTACAAGTATTTATAAGGCGACGTAAATACTTGGAGTATGTACTTCAAGAGAAAACTAACAATTCATAACACGCACGTGTTACAAAACGTTTTCTACGTAGATATAATTTTGTTTGTAAATATAATATGCAGGTATTATGAAAATAAAAAATGCGGGTGCGTAATTTCTTGTTCAGTATATTTACAGACTGTGTACTAATAAAAACACAAATTTATTACAGTCACGTTACAAGTACTACAGTAAAATACTAATACTAAAAAACCTAAATCAGCCTTAATTAAATAAATCACAAAGTCTTCATTATTTCATTACAGATAATCTTCATTAGGCTATCAAATCCAATTCAAATGTTCAGAAATAGAATTAATTATCACCTTAATCACCTTATGACATACATTTTGCTATAAAACATGTGTAAGATGGACTATAGCTATGTAGCAATTATTATTGCCTATTTTGGTATTGTCTTCATCTGTATATTACATTGTGTGAATGTGAATAAGTTAAGTAACTACTCTGATCTTTCAAAATGTTGAATAAGATCTGTAATTAACATTTCAACAGTTCTTATTAGAAACTAATTCCCTTAAACAGAGCTTGTTTCAAAATGTCTGTTTATATTGCTGTAATCCAACTTTTATGTTATTGTTTTGTGCAAATAGGTATTTGTTTAAAAAAAACAAAACATAATACAATGAGGATTAGAAGATTGTTTAAAAATGGAATTAGACAGTTAAATAAGTAACCTATTTCTTTTCTGCCATATTGTGCACAAGCTCTGACTGGCCAGTAACATAATACTTACATGATATAGATACTCTGTGGCTTTAGATATTTAATTGTGGAATTTATGCTGTCAAGTGTCAACACCTTTGTTGTTGAGAAGCTTTTGTTTAGTAACTGGTGTAAATAAGTCTTTTGGACATATTTGAACTCATCGAGTACCGTCATTATAGACACAATTATAAAACAATAGGTTGCGGTCACCAGTGACCGCTTGGTGTTTAACAGTTTAAACATGATAAAATCTCATTTTTAGTACCTAAACCATTAACTATACTTTATACTTAAGATTAAACACTGATGAGTCTCATTACCACAAACCATTTCTAATTTCGAATTTTCTAACAAGATTAATTGAAAATGCCACTAAAGATAAAGAGATTCCGATTATTTGAGATCATCATCTGCATCAAGCAACAACATTGTATGTTACGGTCATATTGATAAGAAATCTTGTATTCTAGATACAAGAAAACTTACTCTGTCTTTTATGGCGAGTGTCAATGACTTCTCTCTCTGCAGATTTGTCTACGCCAAATACAGTTTTCAAACAATGTAGTGTCAACATTAGCTTTGCTTGAATAAAAAGTAGCCCATTTAGTGAGTTACAAGGCAGAAGGGACACTGGTTCCTTCTCCTAATCACCATAACAATTGAACTCAACAAATCGCCGATTAAACTGTCAAACACCAAGCGGTCACCGGTGACCGCAACCTATTGTTCTATAATTGTGTCTACAAAACCGGTACTCGACGAGTTAAAAAAAACTCATTAAGTTATTTTGAACAGTAATCCATATCTGTAACCAGTTCCATCTAATTCTATTCAGTAGTTTTACATAACCCGTAGCATGTTTGACCCCCTGCAAATGTATTGTGTAATATGCCTACGTTGGCGTTTAAGACTCTCGGTGAGATAAAGGGGCAACAGATCCGCATAGATACTTTTACATTTACAATACTGTCTGTATCATAGGATAGGGTAGGATATCTATTTCTAAGTAGGCGCCAACCCTTTGGACCAATATGTCATTGAAACCAACCATTAAAAAAGTACTGCAATATACTATCGCTATTTCATTCACCTACCTTAATATGTTGATATATTGTACCGAAAATTTGTTCATACAAAAGTAATATCTAAACAACGGAAATAAGGTCTAAAATTGAGTTAGTAGAGAGTGGTCGCAGGTGACTGCTTGGGGATTGATCAGTTAAAGATAAGCTCAATAATCAGGCAACAAAATGATGCGTCATAGCGTCACTTTTTTACTTTATTTACTTGGTGTAAATAAAGTAAAAAAGTAGTACACAAATATGATACTTACTGATAACGAGATAAGGTTGTTTAAACAATAGTATGAGTCATGTTTAGTTGTAGAATGGGATAGAATAAATAAAATTCAAAGAGATTGTCTTGTTAACTTCTTAATCCCTAATTATGAAAAATCCACAACATTTGTTTATACAAAAGTAGTGTCTAAACATCTGAAATAAGGTCTATAATAGAGTAAGTGGAGAGTGATCACCGGTGATTGGTTGGGGACTGGGCAGTTAATCAACTATTGTCCTTATGTACTTGTTTAAAGGCTTAAAATCATGGGCATTTTTTAAATCTTAAGTATCATTTGTTACTGCATGTTTAACCATAATACTATTAACTCTAGGTAGGGTAGATGCCTAATTTTTATTTTAATGCCCGTCTGGTAGATTATTTTAAATCATTAGACACGTATTTTGTATTTTCTTACAGAAACGAATACTTTCGACGATATATTGATTTGAAATGTCGCGTGACGTCACTTCTATGTACATTTTATACGTAGAAATGACGTTTTAACCCCCACTCCTAAACTTTGATTCGTTTTATCTAAGTATTATTTTATTGTACAACAAAATAAAAAAATACATGTCTAATTTTTTCATTACCTAACTGACATGACGGACTAATTAGATTTTTAATTTTCATACCCTGTCATCATCCCAATTGTGTAAATATTCTGATTTCATCAGACAAGTTCATACAGGTCCATATTTGTTGTAGTAATTTGAAATTGACGCGTTCCATATAATGATAGATGACAGGTTGTTTTTGTTTTTTACTTTTTCTCTGCGCCATCACTGCTGTAATGTAGATTTGTTCTGTTCAATAAAACTAGATAATTAATATTAAAATCGTTTAATTACAATAATATTAAATAGTATTGTAATAAAAATCAATACATAAGTGACTAATCCATTGATAACTCAATATGTAATTACACAAGTGCTGTGTAAAAAGGGAAGGTCATTCAAATAAGTATCTTATAACAAAACAACATAGAATTGAATTTGAAGGTAGTTGGTAAATATTTACAAACCACATCATCCATAATTTAAAATAAAAAACAAAAATTAATCTTGCCTGCCCTAAACGTAATAAAAATACAAAATGCACTGTAAAGACATGAAAACAAAGTTTATTTTTCATAAACTTTACTTTGTAAATAATCTGTGAGCAAGTGACGTCATTATCACCCGTCATAAACACGTCTGGCGATATCCTGCGTTTGTCAGAGAACATATATTTAAACTCTTTGTTTTCTTTTTTTATTTATTTTTAACTTTTTTGTAACTTTGTAAATATAGTATCTGGCCAGGATGTTTCAACACGTTCAACCACAAGAGATAAAGAAACTTTAAAGATTGCCAATTTGTCTGCTATAACTAACTATTTGTCGATTGTGCATGCATCATTAATCTTCTTTTTTTTTATACCATAAGCCGGTAAACGAGCAGACGGATCACCTGATGGTAAGCAATCGGCGTCGCCCATGGACATCTAGAACACCGGAGGCGTTACAAGTGCGTCACCGGCTTTTTGGGGATTAGGAGTTTGAGGATCGTTGGGGTTTCAGGGATTGGGGAAATTGGGGAAGGGGAAGGTAATTGGGCCTCCGGTAACCTCACTCACACGACGAACCACAATGCAAGCGTTGCTTCACGTCGGTTTTCTGTGAGGCCGTGGTATCACTCCGGTCGAGCCGGCCCATTCGTTCTTCCGGCGATTCTGACATCGTCTATCCAACATACTTTCTGGACTCCGTTTTCCACGATATTTAGTCAACAACGTCTACGTGCTTTTGGACAGCCTTGGTTTCTGTTCCTAACAATGGCCACCATTCGATCAAAGCTTATGTCCTGCCGAACTCCATTAAGGAGTGTCGGTGTATTCTCTGATATCATTTAGTTACCTTACTAGGTATTTCTTTTCGATATTATAACTTTGTTGATACTAGAAACTAGTAGTTGCTTATGAATGTGAGCCCCCAGCTTGGCTTGAATCTAATTGAGTTCCTCAACATGCTGTTACGTAAGTAAGTCGGTTAACATAACAATGAATCATTGATTTCATCCGACGACGATATCAATTACCAATTAAACCGCAATTACCTACTGCAATTAGAACAAAACTTCCTTTAAATTGTTCCTAAAATTATAGTGAATTGATGAATTGATAAATAATTGTCGGAAAACCATTCAGTTTTAATGAGATAAGGAATGACATCATACGTTGAACACAGCGAATTTTAATCATATTTTGATTAGATTATGTTATATACCATAATATGTACCACTTAGACTTATTTAATCTTTATCATCATTTCATACACGATTTTCGTCACGTTTTCGCTACGTGTCTACGATTGTAAGTGTAAATGAACAGGTAAAATCCTTTAAATAATGAGGTACACGGAATTATAATATAAACCACCAACATCTATCCAGGCCCTTTGGTATCAAACTAAGATTATAAATTGGCCACAATTTAGAACGACCAAATAAAACATCTGACTATCTTTACTAAAAGTTGTACCACTACTACACCACTGAAGGAAACAGCTGTGTTCTTGTGCTCGGATCTTTTTGCAAAACACAAAACAAGACGTTTTGAAAGGATCGCACATCTTACGGCAGATGATAAAGACGCCCTAAGTGAAGACAGGTGCAGTTTACCAGCTGCTTCCACTTTTGTACTTGGATGTTGCAATAAAACCAGATACATCGGGTATAATAATATGGTTGAATGTATTATTTATGTAGCACGTTTGAACTATTGCTAAAGAGAAGAAATATTTTACAAAAACACTACGTTTAAATTCAGTCTTAACCAGTAAAGAATTGCATTGCTCTGCAAGTGAAGTAACTATTAAAGAAACTGCAACAATTTCACTCAAACCTCTATCAAACTGAAGCAGAACACCCTTCATAATCCATGGTCTAATAGGAACCAAACTAACGTTACAAGTACCGCATACCAATGCCTAATACAATACAACTTTCTCTTGCACAATGACATGTGTGGAAATACGAATGGGTTTGCAATAACCATCGCTCAGTTCACAAAAAGTCGATGCGAAAGTTGTTCGTGTATAGGAAAGCTTATCTGCTGTCTGCTATGTGGAAATCTTTGCGCCTCAATTAACTTGAACAGTCTCTGACAATCCCTGGTTGATAGTGAACGTAGGACGCTTTTCATTTTGAAAGTGAACCCAATTAATTACTTGGTAATTAGTACTATCTAATTCTTCTTTGTTAAAATCTAAACGATTTGTTCCAAATTATTGAATAACTAGATTTATTCATTTGAGTGTGTACTCATCGATTCGCTCGCCTAAGTCCTAAGCAGGGCTCAAAACAACAGCCGACCGTGACAAGCCATGCATATTAAGGTCAAAGATTCCTGCAGCGCCGTCAACCAGAACCCAAGAACTTAATACTGAGAACTGTGTGAATTTTACTATCTGCCTTCGTGACATAAGAACTATATTGCATGATTGGAACCAATATGAGGCCATTATTCCACTGTGAGAACATCAGAACAGCTCGAGAGTTGAAATAAAAACGTCGAGAAAGTGTTAACGCCCCTACCAATAAAGAATTCAATAAAACACGAGTACGATCAAACGCAACGATGACACCGAAACATCTGAAAGTCATGGTTGTTATCGACATAAAATTGGTGATGAACACTTGGCAGGCCGCCAGAGTTTCGAGATACTTCCTAGCGGACTAATACGGCAAAATTGAATAGTCTTTGATATTTCTCAAGCATCCTTGTTAATTTTACTTTTTATCGTGATCAAAAAAGTAATTATAAGCTGACTTTTTGAAGGCATTCTCTTGATTCTTAATTACGTTCACGGCGAATTCGTTGACCCTCAAGCATTCATTAAGCAAGGTTGAATTGCTGTAAAGAAATTTGCTTACGCACGCTAAAAATCAATACTTACAGCTAAGTTAATTAAACATATAAGGCGAGGTATTAGTCAATAGGCAACTGACCTAAGGTATAATACGATTGATGAAGGTAAATGTTATAAGGACAATTTCCAATGTATAAATTATAAAATAAACATAATTTTATGCTCACAATGCCCTCCCTGCTTGCTATAAAAATATAGTTTATGACGAGCTGGAACAACGGACCGTTCTATAAATAAAAAATATAAAAAACTAAAAACAAGTGTAGACACGACGTCAGTCTTACTATAGGAGACGGGGAGAAACATCTCCAAAAGGATAAAAATAAAGTTACGACCACGTGAACCTTGTTTCCTTTTGAATGGAAAATGCGTTCCCACATTTCTTTGTAACGTCTCGGCCCTCTGCAACCCATCTGCATTGCATTAATATTCAAACGACCGCATCACCACATAAAGTAATTTTATTCTGTTCTGTCCCGAATTTCAATTTCAATGTCATCCCCATTCATGGTTTGACCATTTATTCATCTGGCTGTGACGTATCCGGCGTCATATCTATACTAATCTATACTAATATTATAAAGAGGAAAGATTTGTACCTATTTTGTATGTTTGTAATGAATAGGCTCAAAAAGTACTGGGCCGATTTAAAAAATTCTTTCACCAATAGAATGCTACATTCTTCTTATTTAACATAGGCTACATTTCATTTTGAAAAAATTAGGGATCCTTGGTAAAATTTGAACAATGTAACCGAAGGTGTAGAAAAATGAGTCTTAAAATGTCTTTCGTCGAATGCGCTGCCGAAACTATTAGCGATAGAACAAAATAATGTACAACAATATTGAAGAACATCATAATGTCTACAAAAAACTCCGCGGTAGCAATTTCCAACTATTGTAGTTATGTCACTACAACAATCCAAATTTCCAAAAATAAATAATTGTCTACCCCCTGAAAGCCGGGACGGGCTGCTAGTACGTAATATTTTCAATAATTTTACTCGAATGCCATAAACAGGAATGTTATAAGTTCATGAATCATTGTTCACTTGTTTTTGGGTGGGTTTTTATGCATTCTGTCACATCGTCCTTATTTAAATACTGACGTCATTAGTCCCAATTCTGTCCTGGCAAGCCGAACAAAATATTGCTTTTTATTAGTATTCACATCAGATTTTTTTGGCTACATTGTACTTTTAACTGGCCTCAGTTAAAATTACTCTCAATTACTCCTGTATGGCAGAAGAAAAAATCGTCACATTTGCTAAATTATGCAGCTACTTAACAGCTCTACACTACAGTGAACTCAATCAAAGGTTCATACTCATAATCCTCTAGTCCAATTAAAAAGTTCCTAACCTTATTCTGCGAATAGCAAGGCCCACAACACTAACAACAATTTTGATATGCTTTATCACCGTTATGAAACTAAACGTGATTGCAATGCCATGTCCAAACAAACACCTTGAAGAACTAAATACCACTGGAGGTACAGGTCTAAACTCTAAACCAGACGCTTACATAATAAGTGATGCTAACTGTGATAATATTCTTACGGCCACATTCTTAGCACTTAGGCTCTAATTAAGTAAACAAGAACGTACTCAGGATTGTTAGATTGCTCAATTTGGGAAACATATCGCTTTCAGTTCTCCGCCGTACGGCCAATTAGTAAAACTGACCTCCATATTTCCTCCTTTATTGCTTTGTTATTGTTTTTTTCTTCAAGGAAGGCGATGTCGGTTCATTTCCTTATATTTTGATAGAGAAAAACGAATACAAACGTGAGTCATGGCCTAGATCTCGACGAGATCGTTTCAATTGCTCTCTAATCCATATTATGCTGTCAATAGTACTTCAAATTTAATTGAAATGTTAAATGATGGACCTTATGTCAACTCTTGTACAGATTATATTGAATTAATTGTTGGATTTCGGACACACCTGGTAATCTTAAGAAAAAAATGACCTTGTATTGTACCTGCTGTACATACATGTTTGTTCATACATAAAATATTCCGTATCAGTTAAACCATTAGAATATACGTACAAAAACAAATAACTATGTACGGAAACACGTGATGCCTACATATTCCAGCCAAGATCTGCTTTTATGGCCAATCTGCGAACTTCTATAACGTAGGTGCTGTGTCGTAGGATGTATTGCCGTATTAGTGTACGCTATATGTATGATAACCAGATACATTTATAGTTTATTTTGCTAACCTTTATTTGACTGTGTTTAAAGTGGTTGTTTGTCGGACCTTTATAATAAAATTTGACTTTGACTACCTGCATTACTGGAGGCTCATCGTCCTTTTCAAATTATTTTTGTACCAATGTAGAATTAAAATGATTACTTACGCTCCGACTGAGAAAACAAATCTGTATAATACGTAGAATAGAATAGAATAGAATATAACTTTATTGTACACCATTAATAATACAGTAAATACAAAAAAGGAAATGACAAATATAACGTAGATACAGCTGTAGATGATTAAATAAAGATGCTCAAGTATACGATGGCTGGAAATCATTCATGCATTCAAATAGGTATTCTAATTAGATTTGTTGTTCGATGTCGTCTCCGCAATCGTCACCAGACGCAAACAAGAGGCACCACTTCATAAAGACCTTTATCTCCCGCCTCGCTGGCTTCTAAACAAAGCGTAAACGTGCCGTAAGCAATATCATGTGTGTGTCCAAGAAAACAATTAACTCTACGATCTGAACCGGTAATTTAAATCTATTTAAAATCCTATGTGGGTGGTGCTACGTGTCATTATTGCTCATGATGATATTTCTGGACTTAATTCGTCATTTTCAGCGCTGGCAAAGCACACTGTAAACACTGTTTTTTGTCCAATAAATAACGAAATATTATTTGACTTGCTTCGTGTGCATGTGGTTGGCGCAGTTTGCTAGTTGGCAACCGAGGTACCTAATATCGATTTACGTTCAAGCCTTGACGAGAACTTAAATATTTTTTGTGACATTGGCGTAATATTCCGTTTGCTGTTAAATGACTTGAAGAAAAATCTTTTGTTACAGGGTAGGTAGTCCGGGATGGTGATGGAAGCCGACCCCATAGCTGGCAAACATAATGATGGTAAATATAAAACAATTCCATCAATAATTCTAGCACGTTCTATTAAGAAGTTTTATTGAATTTTGGCATTTCGGTACAGCCGACAGAGGTCTATAATTGAATGAAGCCGAGGTCAATTCGACAGCCAGAAAGTAATTTATCGAGCACTTAAATCGCAATAACGCTAGAAGTATTCAGAATTCTTAGCGTTATACTTCTATTTGTAGGCGTTTGCATTTACATATTTCTACCACAAATATGTAAATGCTTGGTTTATTCGTGGATTCTTTTTGCTAAACGTTTCAAAGCCGTCGAAAAAGGTCCTGGTATTTATGGAGCATGGAGTCTATCTTCTAGATCTACATCATTAAGAGCATTAAACTCATGTATCAAATGATTTATTGTGTAATCTGGTTGCTACACAGAATTAATAACATGTGTCATGCGCGTCATGTCCAAATTGACGCCCGTCCTATTTCCTAGCCTCCCATTTTCTTTCGCTTCCAAAGTCATTGGCCTAAATGTCTGATCTACACAGTACACATACTAGGCACGTACCCTAATCCGTTTTGTTTAAATGTCTGGCCGCTTATAGACAGTTTTTATCGCGCAAATGAATCATGGCTCGGTGGCCTTGTTGTTAGCGAGGTAAGCAAGAGATTTGTGTTCGATTCCCTTCGAACGCAGCTCGGTATAGTTTATACGTATTTTCTTTTACCATTTGGTTGAAGGAAGTGAATTACATTTGTACTCATCTCGTCATTCTCAGTATGTTTATGAATCACATTTGCTATAAGTAAACAATATCTTTAGATTATCTGTCAATATGAAGGCTAATGGAAATTATTCCAAGAGTCAGACCGTAATCAGTTGTGTTGCGGCTATTGAAGTATTTCCTAGTTTTATTATTAGATGGAAACTTGATAACAATCTTGTAACACGCGTGAGGAATGTGTCGATAAAATCTATTTCTGTAACAAACTGAATCTGTGACGTTATTTGTAAACTGTCTCAAGTTTGGTATCTGGTAACATTTCGACAATCTTAAAATGGCAACATCAGATTTTGTTGGTTCCAAATATATGCTTCTCATCTCCTGACACTTATTTTATTATCAAATTACTAACAAATCTAGGATTATAAAGAATATAATCAATTACTGAATCTACTTATTCATTTGTTACTAATTCTCCGAAATTATCCACAAAAGTATACTCTTTTAGCAGCATTAATCAATCCCATTTGAATAGAGGGCAAGTCTATTGGCCATTTCCAAACTTCCTGTGTCTACTGACCCGACCTCGTGCTACACGAGCCGACCATTTTGATTCAAATTCGCAGGAACGGAAACTAAATTATCGGAACACAAATCAGAGACAGACAGACAGACATCGCTTTTGATGTTCCTCGTGATTTGTAGTTACGACTAGCATTCTATCTTAGTCTTCCTGGCTAGTTAACATCTTCATAAATATGTGTGTCTAACCAATCTTTATAAATGCTGTTTTATTATACTACATCTGTTTCATATTTTGGACTATAGAGGACGTCTAGGTACTAATGGAGCGTTTCATAGTTGTCTTGACCGTGGCAATTAGGTACCGAGGTTCGAAGAAAATATAATAGAGTTGGGGATTACTGATCTTTGAAATTCCCAGATAATAGGCACTGAATCTGAAAGTGTCCTCTTTGTATGGCAATAAACTCTCTATCCCGATTCCGTAGGTCTTCTAAGGATTCTAACATGACTAATTGAAATTGGGATGACATGGTATGGAAATTAAAAATATAATTACTCCGTAAGTTAGGTAATGAAAAAATATTAGACATATATTCTTTTATTTTGCCGTATAATAAAACAATACTTAGATAAAACGAAACGAACGTTTAGGAACGATGGGGTTGACGTATCCATATGGACAAAAACCCCCTAAAATATTAAAAATAAAGAGATTAAAAAAAAAAAAAACGTTTAGGAGGGAGGGGGGCTAAAACGTCATTTCTACGTATAAAATATACATAGAAGTGTGTAATGATATAAAATAATCTACAAGACGGACATTAAAATAAAAATTAGGCATCTACCCTATTGCCGCCTCTACCTACCTATTTCTTCAAGGATTAAAAGCAGTGGCAAATATAAAATTAAATCTGTACTTTTACTTCAAGCTATCTGCTATAACTGACAATTTCGAAACCACATACTCAACTGTCGCTCTTATAAAGTTACGACGACTGGACTAACGAGGCGAGTTGCACATAACATTTTTATTGATATTGCGTGACTCTATTTAAACATTAACTTTTCTTTCACTATTAAATAATAACTAAACGATGTGTACATGTTTTGCTACTATAATCAATTTACAATCCGGTCATAAAACACTAATAAAGTAAATACAGGTGAAATAACTAAAAACTTCCAATTCGGACTGTATTGCAACAAGTCTCCGTTTATAAGCGACATTTTTCAAAGTTTTTCTCGAAACATTATTCATTCTTAGAAATAACTGCAAGAGCTCTATTGTTTCTGTTGTAGGTAAACATTTGCATTGCATTCACTACATAGTTATAATATCTCCTGCATAGCTTTCTGGTTTAATATTGAGACTATCCGTGAATGGATCAGTCTTTTTCCAATCACAATAATTATGCAATTAGTCCTAACCGACCTGTCAATATGATTGGTCATTGAGCGAATAACATCTAACCTTCCACAACAATCGCTGCATCGGTTTAAGTTACTCACCATTTTGGATTGATGTCGGCCAAAAGAGCTACAACCCTTTTTTGGGAGGGTAACATCATCCAATGATTTCATCATCCCACCTTGGATGAGCCGCAGATACCTAGTCTCAAATTCTTACTGACTAAAAACCATCCCGTAGCCTTGATAAGACCCAACGAAAAAGAACAAAATGTGCAAATTGCCTTTTAAATTGAAACAAACGATTTACAAAGAATCGATGTAGCGTATCGTGATCCGATGGGTCTGAATGGCCAGCATTATTCAGATTGGCCATTCACGTTGTCAATCCGGTCGTACGGTCTTGCTCCATCGCGTCTATTGTATTCCTCTCTTATTTGCGTATCGGAAACATCATGGTATGGCGCCACTGATAAATCAATTTGGGTTTTGTGTCCTAAATCTGATATCTTACCTTGATTTGTTGATATTGAAACTTTATATGGAGATTTTGAATGGTTATACTTATGACTATGAAATATAGTTTGGGAATTGTTCATCTGTTAGCAATTTTATAGACATTGTTTAAGTTTTTTGCAATCATAATAAGCTATTATGACAAATAAACAGTGCATAGCTGAATACTTCATATTGTTCAATATAGTTCATGTTGGATTTCCTATTATAAAATTGTTTCATCGTTCTCTAACATGTGATCATTATCATCCATACTGATCCTGATATTCCTGATCATTTCTCATTTACTTTCGGCAGTACCTGACCAGCCCTATCTCATTAGTTATGTGGGTATCCCCAATCAACCGAATATAGTAATTTCCATGCAACCATTGTTCATATTTCACTTTCCTATAGAGGTAGATACACATTTTCCCCAACTTATCTTAAAATACTGATAAACAACGTTCTAGAAATAACAATGTATCGATGACTGGGGTTTTTGCTCGATTTAATTATGAATTTTATTTATATTTATAAAATGGTATTTTCTATCCTCATTACTAATGTCCAGTACAACTCTTTGCTCGTTCGTGTAGAGTCGAAGAATTGTGCATTCTGAACGCGTATTGTTTGTTATACAGTCACCTATTTTAACAATAGCCAGTGTTAATACCCAATTATTTAAATTAACAGTTTAAGTAGCACTTAGGACCGCTCAATGAGTGACGAGAGCTGTGGTATGTTCTTTGTAATAGCAAAACATTAAGTTTTGACTCATGTTTTGAATATCTTAACCGAAAATAAACCGAGATGTGTGATGAAGTAAAATTTATAACGTGATTCAGTGTGGGGTATAAATACGTTAGTACGTAATACACGTGATGCGTTATTTGATTACGGAGTGTTTCTTTCAGAAAGAGTGCACGGCGCATCGTTGAAGGCGCGGGCGGGCGGTGACGTCATATCTCCCGAGCGCTCGGTCGGCACTCTCGACCTTAACATGTCTTTCACGGCCCCTTCAAACCTGGTGCTCACACCTGCGCCTGAATGTAAGTCTAACTACAATAATTTTATAATAACTATCGTGAAACATACTAAATTAACTAAAATCGCGGGTTGCTCACGTGAATATGCAATACGCTGCTCATGAGGAAGAACCCCTCTGTGGTTCGAAACTAGTAGAGCTTTTCTCAGTATATTCACGTGAGTAACCTGCGATTTTAGTTAATCTAACTACGATATTTTGCAGAGAATATTATAATGAACCATTTTCACTTAAAGGTCCCTTGAACTGAAATAGTAGAAGGAAAACAGCAGAATAAAGTCCTTTCGACCTAAATAGTTAAGGCTAAGTATGTACACTACCTACAGCGCTCCAGCTAGGTAGAATGGCGATATCCGCAAAGCCGTCAGAGGTTGAATTTGAAGAGCTAAAGATTAAACTCTATGGCATGCTAAGGCCCCCATATACCCTTCATCAGATACCGCGAATATCACTAAGCCCAATTATTCACTGTATTCTTCATGAGCACTGAGCTTCAATGCATTCATTCCTCTTTTAGATCACCCAAACTCCAATAAATAATTTAAGGCTCTGTGACCTTTAAATATGTATCTAATATGCTTCTGACCTCAATATATTTCCATCAGGTCGCAAGCTCTCGCGAGGTATCTCCCGCGCGACAGACAATGAGGGTCTCGTGTGGGCGTTGCGCAACAATACTGAGCCGGAGCCGAACACAATCAATTCGGATCACATACTCTTGCTCCCAGATATTACTGTATACCCACCTGATTTTAGGTAAGTTAATATAAGATGAAAATGAAATGTCTCCGGAAAAGACTTTCTTCCGAACTAATAGGTTGTTTTTGGTGTTTTATGGTAACTATCAGTAATTTTTGCTACGTTGTCAATAATGGTAAAATTCTGTAGGTGTCAAGTATTTGGAATATTAAGGAAAGGTGTATTAGTATTAACTATGGTAGTAGATTTCAACACCGAAAATTCGAGAATCGTATAACGAAGCAATGGTTTCAGTTTCTGAATCTTCATAATTTAATATTATCTGCACGAACATGGACTAAGAACGGGCTTTCCTACTTAATCTCGTACTAAAATTGGATTGCCTAGCTATTTTCGACGCAAGGCCATCATAGGTATGTTTTGTTTAGCGAAAACTGAAGACAAGTCATCACTATCCACAAACAGGTCCACTCCGGCCGCTATTGTTTCAATTGTTATAAATGGATTTTCCTTTCGATTTGATTTATTGCTGCAGAGTTATTTACAAAACGAGACTCACCATTTGAACATTCATTCGGCGTTAGTATAATAGTATAAAAATATGAGAATGACTTGCTAGACAGTGAAATCGAGCGGTGACAGCGACACGAGTCGTTGATATTTGCATTTTTTTGGAATAGTGCCCTTTTTAATTAGTCACGTATGTCAAATATAGTGTTAGAGTGGTGTCGTACGGTGCGGCCGCGTACCTGCGTACATACGGTCGGCAGCTAGCCAACATTCATTAATGTTGCACACGCAACCCAACAGTTTGTGTCTGCCGTTGAACTTTCTGTTATTGTTTACCGTTCTTTAACCTTTTCGTGTTTCGGAGACATGAAACCAACATTGGCCATTGATTTTGCTGATAGCACCTGACAGTCCACGAATGGAAATAATATATTATTGTACCTAATTTGCGGTTTTGGTTTTTGACCGAACGTGGTTATGGACGTCGTCGACATTATGTATATTGAAAGGTTTTTCAAGTGCGTATTCTTAACGTGGATTATTGTGTCTAAATGCTGCCCAGTTATAGGATCTTTTTGACATAACACATAATCAACATCTTTCCAGGACTTTCCTAGAGAAGGACCTTTTAGAGACTGCGACTCTAGTAACTCTAGAATCTGCGAATATATTGAACTGGTGGCGCCACGGGCGGGTGCCTGGTGCCCCTCGTCTCCTGCCTCTCGCCACGTCAGGCGATGGCAACTGCCTCCCTCACGCGGCTTCACTAGCTGCATATGGATTCCATGACAGACTGCTCGCGCTGCGGACCAAAGTTCAGGCTCTCCTGTCCGGAGAGGGCGGCGAAGTACTTACTAGTAAGTGTTTGAGAATATTATGTACGTTGTCCCCTGTATCTTCTTGCACTAATTATTTTTATGTTACATTAAGTTCATAATACTCTAATTAGCAATTTTGTATGCTTATACACAGAACTCGTATGTGACAGAATATTGAAAATAAAATGTTTTGTATTTAAAATTTTGTAAGTTAGATAATGACTAAATTAAGTGTGGGAGAGCCATGCCGGCACGAATGGGCCGGCTCGACCGGAGTGATACCACGGCCTCATAGAAAACCGACGTGAAGTAACGCTGGCGTTGTGTTTCGTCGTGTGAGTGAGGTTACCGGAGGCCCAATTACCCTCCCCTTCCCTAATCTCCCCAATCCCTAAATCCCCAACGTTCCTCAAACTCCTAATCCCCAAAAGGCCGGTAACGCACTTGTAACGCCTCTGGTGTTCCAGGTGTCCATAGGCAACGCCGTTTGCTTACCATCAGGTGATCCGTCTGCTCGTTTACAATAAAAAAGTACACAAGTAAACAAGTACTGTAACCGAGCAACCAATCAATATTATTTATTTACATATTATAATAATTACTATAAAAGATAAATATTCACTGAAATCCTACATTTTATGGGTCGTTAGCGAAAATTCGCTTACAAAATTGTAAATTTTGTCTTACAGACGCAATAAAACGTCGCTGGCGTTGGTCGGAGAGCATATCGCTGCGGTCGGCGGGGCTGACGCCGTCGGAAGCGGAGTGGGAGCGCGAGTGGGCGCAGTGCGTGGCGGCCGCGTCCCCGGAGCCGGCGCGCGCCGCGCCCGCCGCCGCGCCGCACTACGCCGCCCTCGAACATCTACATGTCTTCGCCTTGGCACACGTCATGAGGAGACCCGTTATTGTTTTTGCTGATGTCGCTTTGAGGGTAAGAAATTAAATTCATAACACTACATAACATCACGCCTTTAATCCCTGAAGGGGTAGGCAGAGGTGCACATTTCAGCACCACAATGTAACACCCACTTTTCACTATTTATGTTATGAGTCCCATGTAATAGGGGTGAGCCTATTGACAATTCCAGACTCCGTGCTACTACTGACATTTTTTTTTTAAATTAAATTTCATAAAATGTTCAATCAATTTCAATTCAATATATATTTTTTTTAAATCTCAGTAGTAGCACGGAGTTTGGAATTGTGTCCGGTATATGGCAATAGGGTCACCCCCTATTATATGGGACTCATGACATAAAATGGTGAAAAATGGGTGTTACATTGTACAGTGGCATTAAGTGCCGTGATGTGCATCTCTGCCTATATTAATGTAAGATTACTCATTTAATTATAATCATACATAATATTACAGAGGGCTTAGTACGAGTTTGTTTTACGGCGGTCTGATTGGTTGGTTCATTGGTGCCGGCCAATCAGAGCGCTGAACGCATAGTACAACGAACTCGTACCTAAGGCCTCAGGTATAATGAGGTCAACTATTATCTAACTTACGATTCACGACAGAGGAACATTTTCCCTATACTGATCTAATGAAAACCTAAGTCAAACTACATTAATAATGATGTTTCATTTCACCTACAGTTTAAATTCAAAATGCATACAATTTAAGTTATTCAGATACAGTCAGTCATACTTGATTTATTTTTCCTTTTATTTTTAATAGCTACTAGCTTCTGCCCGCGACTTCGTACGCTCAATCCCGTTTTCTCCTGTTCCCGTAGGATTTACAGGATTTTTTTAGTCATAAGAACCTTCTCCTTTAAAACAAAGAGCTTTATTGACGGCCAATTTAATAACAGATTTCAATGTAAAATTCTTAGATTTACTATGTTCAATTTTTACATAACATAACATAACATCACGCCTTTTATCCCCGAAAGGGTACGCAGAGGTGCACATTATGCCACTGTACAATGTAACACCCACTTTTCACTATTTATGTTATGAGTCCCATGTAATAGGGGGTGAGCGTATTGCCATATACCGGGCACAATTCCGGACTCCGTGCTACTACTGAGATTTTTTTTAAAAACCTGCAGTAATACTTTACCCGACCCGGGAATCGAACCCGAGACGTTTTTTATGATCAATTTTTATATTCGTTATATGGAGTTTCTGTCAAAAGCCTATATAGAATCCTTGATGAATCCATAGATTTACCTTCCGAGATGTATGCTTTTTGTTGTTAGCGGCGACTGGTGAAATATACGCCTAAAAGTTCCATCTTGTAGAAGCTTTTTTTAACTTTAAAACTGCACTTTTTAATCTAATTTATCTTTAATATCTTCCAGGATTTCCGAGGCGACCCAATAGCTCCGATTCCATTTGGTGGAGTGTACCTTCCTCTGGAACTGTCCCCGGAAGCTTGCAGTAAGACGCCGATACTGCTGGCGTATGACGCGGGACATTTCTCCGCGCTCGTACCTTGCGAGCCGCTGCCGTCTGATGGCGCTCGCGTGCCATTGGAGGATAGTGCTGGGAATCCCATGCCTATAAGGTATTATTTAAGTCTTGTTTTACAAATGCACAAGGCATTTGCTTAACTCTTGTTTCTTGACATAAGAAATACTGTGCCTTTAGGGATGACACTGGCATGTGTCAAAATTTACGTCAATACAAAATTTTGACACTTGTCAGTGTCATCTCCATACACTTAGTTCTCTACTCTCTCGGTAGACAAGCGCTAAAGTGGCGATTGGCTAAAGGTACTGCAGCTGTAGCCAAATGCCATTTAGCGCTTGTCTACATGTAGAATAAAAAACCAAATTATATGGAATTGACGTAAATTTTTGACACTTGTCAGTGTCATCCCCATACATTTAGTTTTCTATTCTCTCGGTAGACAAGCGCTAAAGTGGCGTTTGGCTAAAGGTACTGATTAGTTTTGTAATGTCAAATAACTATTTAATCCGTGATGTGATCTATAGACATTATTTGGTTCTAATAACTCGTTTTTCTTGTAATATAGACTTTATATTATTTCTTATTTAATAGGTTGGCGTTTTGCCACCATATAGTCTGATGGTAAGCGATGAAGTGGCCAACGCTTGTTAAATTTTAATAAAACCTTTTTCCAATCGAATTTGTTATCGGTTCCAAAAAAACTCAGCTAAACTAATATAACTTCCATTCCAGATTCAACGTAGACCCCGGCGAAGATTTCCCCTGGGACGTAGAACCCGACCAGAAGACGATAAACAACATCCTCCCTGACGAGTACCAGCACTCGGCCATGTTGGCAGCATACCTCGACCTCGAACGAATCGAGTGCATCTCCCTGAATCAGCCTCCAGAAGAACTGCGAAGATCCTTGGACGCCCTGTCCACCAAAAGTTCAAAGCAGTTGAACTCTGTCGCCAAACAATTTGGTAGTATCGGGAGGTCAATGAGCAGTAAGCTTAAGAAGAACTTTGGTTCGATGGCGAAGTTGGCTGGGAAGAGTAGTGGGAGCCATAGTAACCCTGAGGAGAGTCTGATGACGAGGCAGTCCACCTGCGAGGTGTTGTGTTGTAGAGTGTTGGCGGCCAGGGCTCCTGTACAGGAGGAGATGGTTAAGAATTACCTGAATGAGGCTTGGATCGGGTGAGTTTAGCATTTTATATCTTCACGTTGACATATATTATGTTCTTGTTTGTTTTTGTGGTATATTAAGTTTATCATATCAAAGTCGGATAGAGATTAAAAGATGCAATAAAAATAATGTATATGGGGTCTAGCTTAACAATATATCATCATTGATCTAATGTTACTTCCAATGACTTTATCTGTGGCTTATACCGATCTGTATAAAGACAAACTATAATACAAAACTTTTCAATCCACAGATACACAGCCGAGAAGAACCGCAAAGAGCCAGTAGGTCCTTCCCAACCTCGCTACGGTACAGGACGCTCACAATTCTACGCAGAAGCAGAACGACCGACAACTACAACAACTTCATCAACATCGTCAACGACGGAACAACCGCGAGTTGGCAGTACGGGCGGGGCGCGCGCGCCGGCCGACAGGACGCTGTACTTGAGTCGCTCGACGTTCTACGACGACCGGCCGGCCGAGCCCCGGCCCTGCCGCGCCCCGCTCTGCATGTACTACGGCAGCCCCGACAACGGGGACTACTGCTCGCGCTGCTCCCGCCTGCAGTAACTGGATCTACTTAGGTTAGTTTATTTAGGGTTCTAGATCGGCAGGACTGGCTTTAAACTGCATTCTGACTTTGTTTATTGTACAGTAACTGTGAAGTCAGTGTACAGTTTGACTATGATTCCAATTAGAACTATTGAGTACGAATTCGTTGCCAGGACACCACTTAGATTAAGGTCTATCGTCCGATAAAAAATTATAGCTACATTAATTGGACAGACAGGCCTTAGGACCTGACGCTACTATAACACCATCTGGTGACAATAAAGCAATAGTTTTTGGTCGTTTGTCTACATGATTGCTATGCAGAGTGCAGTTTAAATACAGTTACCTTCTAAAACCTTATTCGACTTAAATTTTATCTATTATATTTCTGTACGGGAAGTATTGCAGATAAACTTAGAAATTATTAGATTTTTACGATATTTTTAATGATTACTTTCGTCTCTCACTAACACGAAGTTAGGTCGTTAAGTTTTTATTTAACGTTCGAATTAAGTTTTATTATTACTTTAATAATTAATTATTATTATTATTTTAAAAGTAATACTTTACTGTTTGCGTGGGTGATATTTTATTGTTACTTAGATTTGGTAAGTCACATTTGTGTTTGCCCCACCATTATTAATTATTAATACTTAATAAGCATAATAATAGTTAAGTGAAATAATATTTGCAACATTACTGTCATTACAAGGATAACTAACCATAGGCGTATGAACGTATTTTAACGTGTAATTGACCTTTATTTATTGTGAAATACTCTATTCTTAGTCTCGATGTCTCTTCTTTCTTGAAACTTGTAAAAAAGTTATATTTAACAGTGTATTAGTCTTCCCCTGTGAATACGCCTGTGGTCTGAATGACCTACGCGACTGTTATTAAAAAAAAGTGCCAAAAAGTGGCTTCTAAACGTATTAAATTTAAAAGTATTCGATTGAAAATAATGTCTTGTCTATGGGTAATGGTTTAAGTAACAAATGTGTTCGAAATTTAGTGCCAGGATTAAAATGGAAAGTAAATTTTGGACAATACGGCAACAATGTATTTCATTACATTTGATATATAGTATATATGAAATATATATATATAATGAACAGTTTATATATAACAGGGTAAAATCTGTTTTAACACCAACTGTGTATACTTTATTATGTTGCCTTTACAATCGTGTCTTCTCACATTAAAATGTAACATGAGTATTTTATTAAAGTCTTATAAATATAAAAATAAATATTTAATATATTGGCGGCTATACTATCAGACTTATAAAGATTGAAAAGATGATAATTAAAAGTATAAAAAAATATTTAAAGTACTATAAATTGTTATAAAAATTATATTTATCACTTATATACAGTCAGTCAAGTTATTTACTATGCAAGTGAGATAATAAAAGTTGATTCGGTTAAAATAAAAATCTCTCTATCGATTTCGATCATCGTGTATCGAGTAGAATATTTATTCATTGCTTCACATGTACTACCATAGCTGATGTACCTACATATTATTACAAACAAGCCGGGTTGGTCATAAAATCAATTAATGAAAGTGTGATTATTTTTTAAATATTTTATTGTATTCAACAGTCGAAATAATTTATTTTTGACTGGCTTTTACCTGCAGCTTCGCTCGCTTCACAAAAGGATAAAAAGTAGCCTATGTGACATATACCAATACACACAGCGCCATCTATACCAATACTTTTGTTTTCCCTCGGGAATATCAAATTTTTCCGGGATAAAATGTACCCTATTATTTAATCCAGACTTCTTACTTTACGTCTGCAAAAATTCAAAGCAATTGGTTTAGTAGTTACGGCGTGAAAGCGGAACAAACAAACAAACTCACTTTCCAATTTATAATATTAGTAAGGATTAAGGAAAGTACCCAATTATACAAGTTAATATTATTGTTACTGTCTCTGTTCTGAACTAATCCTTATTTTCTTACCTGCGTACTAAATAACTTGGCTGGCTCCCATTTTAAATGTTTAGAAAAGAGACTATCCTACTATAAGTAGGTACTAAAGCAGCTTGAATTGACCCATAGCCTTGCGGAATTGTGATTTAGAGGTTATGTACAAATAAACAGATGTATATTTTTTCATTTATATCATCCGACTACCTCATGCAGCGATGTAGTGATAAAAAGAAATGTAACAAATATGGCTGATTGAAATATTAAAGAAGTGCTTCCAAAGTCGTGTAGGAAAAAGTAAAGAAATTTCTCGAAATCTGGATGACAAAATTTTTCACCCAATTACCCGCCTCCCCTTCCCCAATCTCCCCAATCCCTGAAACCCCAACGATCCTCAAACTCCTAATCCCCAAAAGGCCGGTAACGCACTTGTAACGCCTCTGGTGTTCCAGGTGTCCATGGGCGACGCCGATTGCGTACCATCAGGTGATCGGTCTGTTCATTTACCGACTTATCTCATTAAAAAAAAATACTATAGAGGTAGAACCACTTTAGTATCTCGATCAATCATAATATCCAGATATATTTTGGACTCAGGGTAATTTCGATACACTCAAATTCCTAATGTAAAAAGCCTAGTTGTTAACCTATCCTATTAAAAAAAAACGAGCTTGGAGTTCGTCTCCGTCCTTGATTTGCTGGTTATAAGAAATATATATTATATTTAATAACAAGTCTATATGTAACCACTGCTAAAATTAAATTAAAATTGTTAGTTTTGAACTAAGAAGTGTCTATAACTGTTTGGTAGTGGTGAATAAATGTGACATTATTCATTAATAAATAGATAAATCTATTTTAACTATAGAGTGCATCTTTCATCAAGTGACTGCTAACTCACTCGTTCCCGGATCGAGATAAGTCTCATTGAGGTTTTTTTTTTTTATTAGTCTGGAATCATATCTGTTGCACGGACACCTAATATAATTGGCTCTAAAGAGTGGCAAGTATCTCTATAGTTCAAATAGGGTTATATTTTTTTATGAATAAATTATAAAAGCCTTTATTGTAAAAATTGATCTTCTAGTCCCATAAAATAGAATACTTAGTTATTAATGTGATAGTTTTAAGCAGTAATTATTCAATTACTGAAACTAATTATATTTTTAAATCAGTTGCATAGTGTGATCAAGTTGTTTATGTTTTTAATTGCTCTTATTTTTTAATATTTCAGATCTTCTCTTCTACTAAAATTTGTAAAGGGCCGGCAGTACCGACATTAATAACGACAAAGTTCAGTCGCTAAAAATATAATTTTTAATAGATTTTTAACTTTAACATTTTGTAATATAGTTTAAAACCTATTAACGAAAACTTAGCGATCGATTTCTGTCGATATTTCGAGACTTCCAGCCCTAATACTATATAAATTCTATCTATACACAATTGTATAGCTTAAATAGATCTGTGTAATATAATGTGTATGTGAGAAATCATGACAAATATAACTGTTTTTAATATAAATTGTACTCAATAACCCATGTTCAAATCAGAGATGTAATATTTTTTCATAAATGTTTAACAATATAGAGACAGCATATCATGTTTTGTAGAAATATAAATTGATATCACGTATGCAAAGTGATATTGTATTTATTTATCCTTCCCCCCCCCCCTCAATTTTTCCTTCAAAATACTTTAGGACCTAAAGTGCTACTACTATACTACTTACTCATCTCAAGAAGTCTTAGTTTATAATCCCAGGTTGGTCTATTTTTTACATAATTGACATAATGTCACGTATTTTACCCCCGATGGGGTGGCAGTGGTAGGCAGGGGTGCACATTACTGCATGTAATGCCACTGTACAATGTAACACCCACTTTTCACTATTTTATGTTATAAGTCCCATGTACAAGGGGGTGAGCTTATTGCACACCGGGCACATTTCCAGGCTCCGTGCTACTTCTGCGATTTTTTGAAAAAACCCACTAATACTTTGCCCGACCCGGAAATCGAACCCGAGACCCCTTGCCTGGCAGTTACTCTATAAATACATTATTCATCAACAAAATGTTTTATATTTCCGATGTAAGAAATCCTGAAACGATTATGGTAATCATTTTAACTGCGTTCTACTACATATTTATGATATAAAAACCATATATGCTCCTATTTCGCGTGCTGTTCGGATTATAAATAGTGTACCGGAGCATGATTTGTTCCACAACCTACCAAGGTTTATTGAAGCAGTACAAAGGCATATTGAATATCACCGTATTGAGTCATTGGGTCTGTATGGTTATAATATGTATGTCATACTGAGAGTATGTAACTCTTGTAAGTCTAATAATTAAGGTGAAATTTTTATTAATTAAGTTACCTACGTGTTAGACTTAAATGTGTCAGGAAATGTGATATTGCATTGGAATAAACTGTAAGATGTCATATTGTAAGGTGTTATAATAAATAAGTAAATATAGGTACTACCACAGGGTACTACCATATTTCTAAAATTCGCTTGAACATTTATTTGTATGAAATGTACCTACCATAATACGGTAATTGACAGGTAGTCAAATTCATTACTTAGAAATTTCAAAACTTTGTATTGGATCGCAACTTATGACGTCATCATATCATCGTCAAATAGCATACTTATTTCCTTAGAATTAGCGAGAAAAAATCCAACAAAAGTAGGTAAATTGTCAAATCAATGGATGAGAGTATGATTATTTTTTCATTATTTATTGCGTTGAAAAGTAGAAACAGTTTATTTTAGACCTAGAAAACTAGCCAATTATTCTTATTATAAAGAACGACCATTGGAACATTTTATCGCCCTTCTCTTCTTTTTATCATCTTTGCATTAATCGACCCCTCCAATAATAAAACATACAATGCCCCTCGGTTTGCATTAGAGATTATAAAGGGTTTAAACGAAGGGTTTTATAACAATAAAAAATATGCCCCTGCATCAACTCACTACTGCAGCCTTTGTAGTGCAGTTATTATTTAAATTCTGTGCAGATAAACATACGAGCCCGCGCTAGTAAGCGACCTTTTTAAAGCATGGTACAAGGCTACAAGGGCATACCTAACCTAGCATTAGTAAATTATGTAAGTAATCGAAAATTGCTGCGATTTTTTTTATGGGATAAGCCGGTAAACGAGCAGACGAATCACCTGATGGTAAGCAATCGGTGTCGCCCACAAGTGCGTTACCGGCCTTTTGGGATTAAGCATTTAAGGATTGTTGGGGATTCAGGGATTGGGGAGTGGAGGGGATAATTGGGCCTCCGGTAACCTCACTCACACAACGAAACACAACGCAAGCTAAGCTAAGGTCGGTCTTCTGCCCGGCCGTGATACTCCGGTCGAGCCGGACCATTCGTGCAGCATGGCTCTCTCATACTTAATACGCGATATTCTTAAATCATTGATTATCGCGTCTTAAAGTCTTAAGGCATCAGCAAGTCTTATGTAGGTACTACTATTACATAAAGTTGAACACCTAGTTTGTTTGTTTGAACGACCTAATCTCCAGAACTAATCCGATTTGAATAATTATTTTTCTGTTTGATAGCCGACTTATCGAGGAAAGTTATTAATCATCACGCTACGATCAATAGGAGTCAAGCAGAACGGGTGAAACCGCGCGAAAGTTGATAATAAAGTTTCACAGCCCTTATACAAAACATGACTTCTACTGACTCTTTTATGAAATAAATACCTTAAAGAACTGTTATTGTCCACTCGATAGAAAGAAGGAAATAATCCACCGAGGAATAGAAAGCAGTGGTAGGTAGTTTTCCCTAAAATTTCAATGCCTGAGATGCTCAAGCTGCCACGCAAGAATGTACTCCCCTTCCTCTCCTGGCTCACCAAGAGAAGCCTCAGCTTATCTTCAATAATGGATATTAATTACGATTGAAGATTCTGACGATATCAGTAGTATGTAGATTTCGTATCGAAATTAAAAACTCGCGCTCGCGCGCGCGCGCCTTCTTTCCTAGTGGTGAATGGCGCGTTTGTCGAGAATCTCAGTTTGTAATACAAACACTAGTCTAGAATCGATACCAAATCGAGAATATCAACTCTTAAAATTTCGTCCAGAAACTGGCTGCAGTGTAACAAATTAAATTAAAACTAAACCGTTATATATCAGTACACCACACCGTTTTATTCATAGAAAAAATATATATTTTTACTGATTTATTATAATTTAAATACACAGTTAAAGTAAAAAAATATATTGAAAAAAAATCGATAGTAATTTCTTTATTGACATTTCTGAACGACACGCGTATATGTCAAAGCGCATTTTCTCCCTCCTGCGGAAGAAAGATGCTTTTCGCTAAAATTACTTAAATGCAATAAAATACAATCAAAAAGCTATTTTAAATGATGTCTGGTGGTCTTATAGATAAAGTTTATATCGGTCTGGATAATGCGCCGGCCGCATTTGATATTAAAGGACGTATTCTAGGCCCCGTAAGTGTTCGTATACATATAATACAAGTCAGCATTCTAACTCGTTTATAAAAATAAACCTTTTATTTCAGAATGGAACCAACTTAGAATACATTCGGTCCGAAACTGGTGTGGTAGCTGTGTTGAAAGGTGATAAACTTGAGCCACTGCATTTGGCCTTACATCATACAAGGTCTGAAGCTTTGGCGGGCGCGAGGTCTCTGGCGCAGAATTTGATAGAAACTATACGGGCGGAGTTGGCTCAATGGAGCGCGGCTCAGGCTGGAGGCCCGCCACCAGCGCTAAA